AAACCTGTTTCTCATCATCTTTCTCACCAAAAAGTCGAGCACTTGGCAGAGCTTGTGCAAACGCAGTGCAACATTGTGCAGCGTTAGGAGGAACTCCTTGCTGCAAGATGTTGCTGATGCTGAAGGTTTCTGCGGGTTCAAAAAGCACTTATATAAAGGCACGCTAAATAAATCCATGGGGGGTTATTAAAAAAAGAGATATTTTTCCCCGAGACACCCATTTCTCGAGGCTGTGAGTGTTTTTGAGGGAAATCTCACGACGCGCTTATCTTGCCCTTACACGCTTCCCTGGACATGGGCTATTGATTGCTGTTGGTGTTTTGCTCTTCTGCAGAATTTTTCCCCGCGCTTGCAGGTTGCATTTTCTTTGCACAGATCTTCAGAAGATCGTAGGTTGGTTTTGGACTTTCCTCTTCCAGCTTTGCTCCTTGCAGAGGAGCCAGTGTTTAGGCAAAGCCTCTCGCATCTAAGGGGAGGGCAGAAGTAATTTTAGTAGAGAAAAAAGATTTTTCTCAGCTCCTCCAGGAACATCTTTTCTTTTTCCTCAGGAAAAAATCCAAGGCTGCCTACAGGCTTTAAGGGAGGAGAGAGAAAAATACCTGGAAAGCAGAAAAAATGGAGTAAGGAAGAGCCTGTACCTGGTAGGTGCCCTCCAGCACGATCCTGGGGGACCGTGGGTCTCTCCACCCACCCCAGCACTGCTGGGGTATTTTGAGACCAGATCTTGCACGTTTGGTTTGCAGAGTGTTGTGCCGTTTGCTCTGGGCACCGGCCAACCCTGTGTTTATCCAACTGGGGTTTCGCATCAGCTGGAGCCTGCACTGGGGAGATAACATTGCACCTCCTCTGCCAGGGAGCCGGTGGGGGCAGATGGCCCCCAGCCTGGTGTAGAGAGATGGGCTGGAAGGTTTTTTTTTTCCCCCTAAACTCTATGAATCTCCCTCTTCTAGAGCCCAGTTGAGGTTGTATCTTTTGGTTCTGCTTCCAGGCTAAGCCTCCTAAATTCCCTGCTACTACCTAAATTCCCAGCAGGATGGTTTGCTGTTAAATTCACCCTTGTATTGACCGAATATCACTGAGGCCATGGTATTCCAAGACCAACCTGGTGACCTTGAAGCACTAATCTGTTTTTCTTGGGCATGGTGGGATTTTTCTGTAGCCCCCCCATCATCTCCTGCCCATCTTGCAGGGCTTATCCTGAGGCTACTGTGATTCCTTCTGCAAAGGTCTGGGGTTGTTCCAGCCCAACAGACTTTTGTCAGCCTCAGAGATGTGACACTAACAGAAACTGGAGTGATGCAAAAATAAGCCACGAAGGAAGTTTTTGCCAGTATTTCAGGTGCTAGAGTTGTAGAGAGGTTGCGCCATACCTTTTGCTGCATGGGGAGGTCTCCTGCCCCTCTTTCATCCCCTATGCCCTCATCTCTGATCCTGGCAGGAGAAAACCAAAAGTGAAGGGAAGAAGATAGTGTGTGAATTCGAGCGATTGCATCAATTTTTGAAGGACCAAGAGCGCCTCCTCCTGACCCAGCTGGCAGACCTGGACCGGGCCATCACCAGGGTCCAGGAGGAAGCAATGGCAAAGGTCTTGGAGGAGATGTCTCACCTCGACACCCTGATCTGGGAGATGGAGGGGAAGTTCCAGCAGCCGCCAAGCCAATTCCTGCAGGTGAGAGCCCAAAGCATCAGAGCTGGTGGGGAAAGGAGGGATGGAGCAAAGCCCGAGACCTGGGAGCACAAATTCAGCCCCATGGGAACTCCCTGGTGTCTTCCAGCATTGCTGCAGGTGGGATCATCACATGCTTAAGGGCCGCCTTCGCTACTGCATTGCCATAAAAATATGTAACTTTTGTTAGAAGACAACACGTGTTGTTCCTCTTCCCCAACTGTCTCTCCTCTCTCTTCCCTCATTTAGGGCATCAGAAGACTCTTGAATAGGTAACGTGGTTCCTTCTCACTTTCCCCACGCTCTGATGCTTGGAGAGGTCTGGATGCCACCTGGGTAAATCCTGAGGTCGGGGTTTCAAACCCGATGGATGCAGTCGATAGCTCAGCTCCCCACAATGGTGCTTTGCATTCAGAAACGTCCGTTCAGCGACTGCCTGGGGGAAACAAACTACGAAGAAGCAGGGCAGGGAAAAGGGGGATTTTATTTGCTCCTGGATAAGTATCCTCAGCCCATCCCATAGCTTCTTCTGGATTATTTAATGAGAACAAAATGAGCAATCAAATATATCACACATGTTTTTTGCCCTCTTTGCAGTTGTGAGATGATGAAGTTCGACCCTCCGGTGGAGATTTCCTCTGATCTGGAAAGAAGACTTGAGGACTTTGTTCAGAGAAACGTCCTCGTGAGAGGCATGCTGAGGCAATGCCAAGGTACTGAGCATGGTTAGGAGAGGGTACGTTGCCTTGCGTGCCTGATATCTGGGAGAAACTGGGTTCTTGTGTGCTGGCTGCTAATGCAAAACCCACCTCGTAACTGTTGTAAATAAATACAGCTGAAAGTTTTAACCACGGAAGGACATTGACAGTTTTTCCTGGGGCAAAAATAGTTGGGAAGTGGAGAGGAGAGAAAAACAAGCTCAGCAAAGGAGTCTCCTCTCCCATGTGAAAAGCAAATTCAAACAGAGCTGCTGCTGTGGTTGTTCCCATCACTTCCAAGCTGGTGGGAAAATGAAAGTTCATGTGGGTACCAAGCCAGGGAGGGGATGCTGCACCAGGGGGAGAAATCTGTTGCAGTGTCTCTTGGAGAGGAGTTTAGCTTGGCCAGGAGGTTCATCTCCCCTGGCTTTGGGAGAGTTGTAGAGCTATCGCAGCATCAATACCTGCACCAGAGCAAGCCAACCCAGAGCCTTTGCACCAGGCCAAGCCCTCACACCCTCGATATTTCCCCTCCCAAGTCTCCCGTTAGCTGTGTTGCCTCCCCAGCCTGCGTGATAAAGCTAAGCTGCAGCCGGTTTGTCCGACACATAAACCTGATACCGTGAAATCTCTCTCCTCTTTAGACAGCCTGATGTTTAAATTGCAAGAGCCAAGTAAGTCGATGGTAGTGGGTGGGAGAGACTGGGTTTTTGGTTTGTGGAAGATATCCCCATAGGAAAAAAAATCAATGCAATCCCCCAGGGAGAGGAAGGGAAGGGTGATGGTATCCTGATGTTGATGATCCTGGCGTATCCAGGGGCTGAGATATGGTCCTGACAAAGCCCAATGCCCCTCTGGGACCCAAGGGAAAAGAACACCTGAGAAAAGCATTTGCGCTTCCCCTTCCCTCCCCACGCGTTTCCCACCATCCCCTCCCCATGCCTCCTCTGCTCCATGCTTTGTCCTCTCCCCCTTCTCCTTCCACCCAGGGGCATCTCTGCTGGGGGACCCCAAGGCTAGTGCCAGCCCCAGACCTGCCCATGCCCCCCATGAAGCACCCAGAGCTGGGAAAAGCAGGAGAGCGGGGCTGCTCCCAGATGCTGGGAGGAAAAGAAACATCTCCAGCCTCTCCTGGGGCCAAGCCCTACCTGCAATACTCTGGTTCTCCCTTGTCCTGCAGCCAACGTGACCCTGGACCCCACCACGGCTCACCCCAACCTTCACCTCTCCGAGGACCGAAAACAAGCCACGGGCCAGCTGATGCAGCAGGACCTCCCGGACAACCCAGAGAGATTTGACTTTGAACCCTGCGTGCTGGGCTGCGAGGGCTTCATCTCGGGGAGGCATTTCTGGGAGGTGGAAGTGGGGCAGGGGGGTGTCTGGGCCCTGGGGGTGGCCCGAGCATCCATCAAGAGGAAGGGACCCATAAGCCTCACCCCCAAGGAGGGGGTCTGGGCACTGGAGGCTTATCACTCTCTCACATCCCCCCGTGCCAACCTGCGCCTGAACCCACTTCCCAGGAGGATACGGGTCTCCTTGGACTACGAAGGAGGGCGGGTGGCATTTTTCAGCGCAGATGATGATGCTTCCATCTTGGTTTATACCAGAGCCTTGTTCAACGGGGAGAGGGTCTACCCCTGGTTCAAGATGGGGATAGGGGCTCGTTTGCAAGAAATCACCCAAACCCCACCCTCAGAGGACCAGTCAGTGACCAGGCAGCTGATGTCCCCTCTGGACTGGGTAGGATTCAGGTGTCCCCTCCGAATCTGTGCTTGAGATAGCCGTCAATCAGACCTTAACGAAAGGGACACCTCCTGCCTGATATGCCAGCTGTTTGCTGTGGTTGCTCAGAGCATCTCACTGAGAGAACTTGCTGCTCCTCTCCCGTGTCCATCTCCATCGGGAGCTTTGGGATGGCACCCGTACAGCAAGGATGGGGAGATGGGACACTGGCAGGAAGCAGTGAGGAGAAAGGATCAGCTGGGATGAGGCGATGGAGTCAGCTCATCAGAAGGAAGGGAACATCAAGGGGTCGATCAAGGATGGAGAGCACTCAGGACTTTCAAACGTGTGGTCTTTTTAAATTTATTTTGCCTTTAACAGGCTGAATCCTCCTGTTTCTATCTCTTTCCAAAGCGTTTTCTTTCTGACATCAATTGCAAGGCAGATCCAGAGTCTGCTCTGCCAAGGGAGGTGGCCTTTCACTACAAACTGGCTTGGTTTGGGGAGCTGGTCTCTGTCTCTGTCTGCATTTCTGATATTCATTTTAAGTAAAAGAACATTTTGTTTTGCCCTCTCCACTTTCTGCCTTGCTATGGATGTATTATTCTGGATTTCTTAGCTTTTGGGTCAGCAAGATTAAGAAAAGCTGCACAGGATGGGGACGCCTTGCTTACCTTTCCACCTTCACGTGGTGGACCTCCAGTCATTCAAGCCCCCTTTGCAGGCAGTGAAGGGAAACAAACCCACGTGGAATGCAATTTTCCACACCATTATACACGTCCAGCTTCCTGGATAACTCCCAAGAAAAGCCTGTTTCTCCCTGTTGGCTGTTCAGGAGGGACAAGATGGGCTAAATTGTACCAGAGGCTCCTGTAGCTAGGCTGGTTAGATATTCCTTGACTATAAAAGCAGGTGGAGTCGATAGGTGGAATACAAGTTCTGGTGTTTTCGCCTAACTCACCTGCATTGATTCCCTCAAAATCTGCTGATTTTCTTCAGAGGAAACCTGAAAGAGGAAGAGGCATCGCTGAAATAAATACACGTTATTGATTATAGAACCGAGAAGAGGAAGCAGAAGCGAGAGTGGGAGGGAGCGGGTGATGTTGGGCTCAGAATAACAGACAAGATATGAATGGACCGCCTGTGATGGAGCCCCATCTCACCATCCCCATGGGTCCCACTGAGGGACAGCTGGTATTTTGGTGCTGCTTTTTGTCACGCTGTCACGTCTCCCCTCCATCCACGCTCCTCAGCCCGGTGCATCGCTGTCGCTTGGTCCCATCAGTTGGGAAGCACGGGGGATGCCACCGCAGGATAGACGTCTGCTTTCTGCAAAGCCAACCTGCAATCGCTGCAGGAGCTCAAGCATGAGGATTTATTAAAAAAGAGCAATCAGGGCTACTGGGAAAGACTTGTGCAAAAAGCCTTGAGTATTTTTTGCTCTTTCTCCCATCTCATCCCCTTTCCCTTTGCCACATCTCTGACAGGGAAGAGTGTGATCCTATGTGTCACCTTGTATGTTGGGTCCGTGTCCTGACACCGATTCAAGCCCAGCTGGGAAAGGCAGAGCAGAATACGAATAGGCAGGCTGTCAGTGCAGGAAGGACCAGAAAAGAAAACGTGGGTGAATCAGGGGAAAAAGCTCTTGAGCTGTTCTGCAAGGACACATTTGTGGGTTGTTGGAGGGCCCCAAGCCATTGTGGTCCCACCACGCTCCTCTCAGAGGCACCTGCTGAGAAACACAAGACACAAAACCCCAGTAAGACTCGGTGCTTTCCTTGGAGGTAGAGATTGATGTTTTTCTGACTCGTTCAGGGCCACAAGTTCCCTCCATGTCTCTGATCCCCATCCATCTCTCTCCCAGGGTGCCCCTTCACTCTAGAAATCTGCAATGCAGATATCTCCACCCCAGCCGGTTTTCCAGGCTCTGTAGACACTTTCAGGGTGCGACTCATTTGCCCAAACGTAGGCACCTAATTTTGAGATGAAAGGAGCTGTGCCCTAGGCTCTGCCGACGGTGTGGAACCACTTTCCATGGAAGAACAAAGCAGCCCAGCTCAGACCGAGGTGTCTCATTAGATGCCGACATTGACTCGGTTGCACCCACCTCCTGCGTCTGGCAGGACAGATTGCCTCCCAACCTGCTCACTCCAGGCCATGCTTCCCTGGGAAGTGGTTGCAGGGCGTTTGCTTCCAGTCCTGCTGTTCCCGGACTGAGCGACTCCCCTGCGGCTCTTCCTGATGGGAACAGTTCGCTGGAAATGAGATTTGCTTCTCCAAATCTGGCCAAGTGATTGCAGCTCGGAAAGTTACCTCAGTCGGTAGCTCTTCAGCTGGGTCACAGCGACCCTGTCTCTAAAACTCCCAGTTGCTGCCGTGCAAAAAATATATATATTTAGCCATGGAGCTTAACAAAGGAGCAGTGGGTTAGAAATGGCTTCAAAACATTTCCCTGTGAGCTCAGAGCCAGGAGAGTGTTTCTTGGAGGGCACGTAGTGATGGGCGGCTATAGGCACATTTGTGGCAGGGGTCCCAAGGACCCCAACTTGTGCCCCTTTATGTGCATTGAGTTGCAGCCCCTCTTCCAGCACCTACAAGGTTCTGGTGGCACGTTTCCCTCCCTGTTTTCTTACGCTTTCCCCATCTATGGTCCCACCAAGCCTCAAGAGCTCCTCACCCTCCTGGCAGCCTGAAAGTCTTTTGCCTCCAGCCCTTTCCTTTTCCCTTGGATGGTTTTGCCTAGTGCCCAGCCCTAAAAGGAGAGGGTCAAAAGCGGTGAGGTGACAGCCCTCAGCAGCTCCCCAGAATAAAAAGCTGGAAGATTGACAAGGGAGAACGGTCAAAAGCAGTGAGGTGACAGCCCTCAACAGCTCCCCAGAATAAAAAGCTGGAAGATTGACAAGGGAGAAACGTGATGCTCCCAGCAGATCAGGCCAAGGCTGTCACCACCTCCTGCCCAGAAGACATGGCACGAAGAGCTGACTCGCAGGCTCAACGCATCCGTGCCGCAGTTTTACCCAGGACTGGGAAAGAACAGGAAGGGAAAGATCCAGCCCCATCAAAGGGATAAAAACAACAGGTTTTTTTAGTTTGCTTCGGAAGAACTTCAGGTGGATATTCAGTTTTCCGAAGGAAGAGAGAGAAGGTCTCCGAGGGAGGACAGCTACCCTGGAGTGCAGAAAACTGGAGGATCTGGTAGGTGTCAGCCTCCCTGACCTGTCAGTCCCTGGGTAGTAAAACACCGACTTTCGGGTCATTTCTTTAGATCCTTTTTGGTTGCTTTGCACCACTGCTGTGCTGGTAAGTGCAGGAATATCACGGCTTTCTGCCCAAGTTCATGCAAGTGTGTTTGTGGCTTTTATCAGCACCTTCCCTTCCAAATCCATGTTGCTTTTTTGCATCAAGTTTGGGGTTTTTTTTCCCCCTCCACATTTCTCCAGGAATTCGAGAAAAGTTAGGAGGCATTGGGGCTCACAGGTAATCTCCTCCTGTGGGAAATGCCTTTGCATGAATTTCTCATGGTATTTCCCATCCTACTACTCCTTCATTTGCATCTTAAAAGGGGAGGATAGAAGCTGAGCCCTGGCAGACCATGCTCAGATTTTAGGCACGCTGCAGGTCCCAGGGGGACACGAGCTCTTCTTGCTTTCGCAGCTGGAAGACCTGAAAAATGAGCTTGAGAAGAGGCAGGCAAAAAATGGCACCAAACCCTCAGAGGAGATTTCCCAGCTGGACACCCCAACACAAGAGCAAGAAGAGAAGAGTCAGAAATCGGTGAGTGAATTAACCCAGGTGAGAGTTTAGAGCTTTTCAAGGGAAAACTGTAGGGAGGGTCCTCCCCACCAAGTAGCTACTGGCTTAATTAGTTGGGCTTTCCCAGTTCCACTTTGCTCCTATTCCATCTGTAACTCTGAAACCCCCAAGGGGATGAGGAAGGGGAGATTTGCAGCCTGGAAAGATGGAAAAAAAAAAAGGGGGGGGACCGGATCACTGTCTGTGGCAGGGAATGGTGAGGGCTGGTGGTTCCCTATGGGATGAGGAGCTGAGTATGATAGCGTAGGGAGCAAGAGCATCACCAACCTTCGGCCCGTCTTTGCGGTACCTGAGAGTGGGGAGCAGCCGGGGGCAGCCCAGAGCATCTGGTAGATCCGCGGGCAGCAGGCAGGGCTGGGGGCAAGGCAAGGAGGTAGCCCATGGGGTGGATCAGCAGGGTCCATAGCCATGGTCCTCCAAGGCAAAAGGACCAAATACCCAAGGACTGAGCTTAAAGAGAGCCCCTGGGCCATGGGGAGGGGGCGGGTGGGGTCTCAGGTGGGGCTGATCAGGGCCATTAATGTCCATTAGTGCTGCTGGCAGCCCTGGTAATCTGTAATGGTCTAATGGGATTATGGAGCAGACAGAGCCGGTGTCTCAGAGGTGTCCAGTGAAAGGACAAGAGGCATCTAGCACAGGTTGCAGCAAGGGAAATTTTTTCTAGATTTGGGGAAAAAAATGTTTTCCTTGTGAGCGCGGTGCCTCCCTGGTTCAGGGTCCCTCTAGATGTGGCCATCTCCACCCCTGCACGTACTCAGACCTTGCCTGGACACAGGCCTGAGCAGAGACCCAAGAGGTCCATCCCCAGCTAAACAGTTCGGCATTGCTGTGATTTAAGGAGAAAAGCTCACGCTGACCTTCATTTTGTCTTTCTCTCCTCCTCCCCTAGGATGTGAGAAGCTCCGTCAGCAGGTACGTGGCCTCTCTGAAAGGCTGTTTCACGGGCGTTTCAAAGAGCAATGACCATGGAGGAGAAAACCCATCGGTGGCTGCTGAATACACCTCCGCTTCAGGGAAATTGCGAGAGTCTGGAAGGGTATTTTGGGTACCACCGCTACATGCTTGTCTCTTCTCTTGATCGTTTCTGGGCATGTGCTGATCAAAGGAGTTTTAATCTCAAAATGACCTCCACCGTGGCAAAGGCTGGCTTTAATTTCACTGTAAAGTCTCGGCTCTTTTCTCTAGCCCCGTCCTCTCAAGCTGGACCTTTCTCTACATTAAAAAATAAATTAAAGATTAATACAACAGGGAAATTTGGCCTTTACTTCTGTCGAAGTTCGGCCAAAGGGGTGAGATTAAAAACCCAACATTCTAGCAATACCATCGCCTCATTTCTGGTGGCGTCAGATTTCCTGGAATGATGACGATCACTCTGAAAAGTGTGGGTTGGGGTTTGTTTTTTTTTCTTCCCCTCATCAGGTGTGGGAAAGTGACTTTCCAGCTGCCAGTGGATGTTTCTCCAGAGTCAGAAGAGAGAGTCTGTCATTTCTCATGGAGGAACAGTGCTCTCAAGGAAACTCTGAAGAAGCTACAAGGTACATAGAAGGGCTCGAGGAGGAGAAAAAAGTAGGCTAGCCATATTTTGGGGAGAGCTGGAAGAGCTGAGCTGCCCTTAGCTCACTCTGGATATACTTTGGGAGCTGAAACAGAATACTGCAGAGTCGTATAATATGTATACTGCAGAGAGAAACCCTGAGATGGAGGAGAGGAAGAGCAAAGGGCTTTTTCTAGTCAGAAAAAAAATGACAATTTGATACTCATTGCCTCATTTAGCACACTCTTAATTATACATGTTTTGCCCTAATTCTTGAAAAATGCTCACAGATGAAGGATGGGCTGCTCTCTGGCTCGGCTCCCCCTCCAGTCTAGCCTTTCCCAAAACTGGCTTCTGCTGAGAGTGAGAATGCAAGAGCAGCTGTACCTGTTCGATGAAGGTGCACCTAGCCCAAAGTGGCCAAAAATAGATGCTGAAGGAAGAATACGAAAACTGGGGCGACTCAACAAGTTTTCTCAGCCCTGCAGCTGGAGCCTCAACGTAACGCTGGAGGAAAACCCACCCCAGGCAGAGCCCTTGCCTTGAAACCTATTTCCATGAAACAAATATGGAAATGGATTGACCCAATTCATCACCCTGTCCTCAAGTTTTAGCTCTTTTTTTTTTTTCAACCACGTGCTCAGCTGAACAAGTGAGGTCTTCTCCTGTGGTTGACGTTTGCTGTAGGAGACGACCTGCTCGAGACTTTGCTGGTTTACATCCCGCGTATCGCTCTCCTTCATTTCTCTTCTCCCCTCAGCATTTATTTTTGACCCAACATAGCCTAAAATCTGCAGAGATTTCTGCATGAGTCTGTAGCCATTACTGTGCACCTTTTCTTCTTGTTTTGTTTTTTTTTTTTTGTTAAAACCAGCTTTTCTGCTTCATGTACAGCACCCTTCCCCTTCTCAGGGATGCTTCCATCTTGGGATGCTTTTGCCCCTTGGATGCCAGCCTGGGTCCTGCTGGCCCCCTCCAAGCCCCCCACATCCCTGGGATGCTCAGCCTTGCTTCTGACACCCCTGTCCCCCACCCCGCAGCCATCGTGACCCTGGACCACGACACGGCTCACCCAGACCTCATCCTCTCCGAGGACTGTAAGAGTGTGAGACGCGGGGAAGGACGACGGGACCTGCCTGATAACCCGGAGCGATTTGACTACTGGCCCTTCGTGCTGGGATGCCAGGGCTTTGCAGCAGGCCGGCATTGCTGGGAGGTTGAGGTGGGGGACGGGGGGGATTGGGCTGTGGGGGTGGCCCGGGAGTCCATCTGTCGGAAGGGGCATCTCAGCCTTTGCCCCCAAGGAGGGATCTGGGGGGTGGAGAAGTGGGGGGGACAAGTTCGGGCGCTCACCACCCGCAAGGTGACCCTCCTGCCTCTCCGCTGGGTGCCCCGGCGAGTCAGCATCCACCTGGACTATGCCGGGGGGACGGTGGCATTCTTTGATGCAGATGAGGGGGGGCTCATGTTCATTTTTTCCCGTGCCTCCTTCACTGGGGAGAGGGTCCGCCCGTGGCTTTGGGTGGTGGGGGCCAGGTCCCAGCTCAGGCTGTGTCCCTGAGACACGGAGAGCAGCGTCCCCCCCATTTTCTGCAGCCTCAGGGGGCAACCACGTCCCCCATGCTACCCCTGGGACCATGGGGAACAGAAGAAATGGGGACTTTGGCTTTTGTGTTCCCTTCTTCCCCATGAAACCGGGGGCTTAATGTGCAGGGAGAAGGGGAACCTGAAAAAAATGAGGCAAAGAGAGGGGAAAAGCTCTGGAGAGGGGACCCTAGCGCATAGAAATGGGGCGTGGGAAAAGGGGAAAAAATTCAGAGTGACAGCAGTAGAAAGGTTTGTCTGATTAAGTACGGATGTCTCCATCTGAGCTGGTCCCCTCCAAACCAAGGGGTTCAAATTTTACCTTAATTTTACCTTTTTCTTTCCCCCACACTCCCAATGGGTGCAATTGCCCTAAACCAGACAGTTTCTCCCTTATAAAGGATCCTGGGGCGGCCAGTTCAGATGCAGATACCTGAACTGCAAAGTTTCTGATGTCAGGTGAGGTTTATCCCAGCCTTCAGTGCTGCAATGTGGAATCTTACCACTGTGGTTGGTAGCTTTGCTGATGGAAAGTTTGCACATGGCAAAGCTCCCGAGCCTCAACTCTTTCCTCTCTTCTCCAAAAACTGGTATTTGAAACCCCCATGATGTAGATCATTAATAATAATAAAAAAATACACGATTTTCCTCCTCTGTGTCTTTCCCTCTGGTTGGGACTGTCAGCAGACAGGAGAGCAGCATGGCACATGGCTTCCAGGGATGTCCCGTGGTCACCTGCATGGGGCTTGTAGACCTTTCTGGGTGCAGGTACAACCAACTCGCAGGCTTTGCGTAAATACCAGGAATGGGATTTAGTTAACCCAAACTCCAGCTCCCCTCCTTGAACCTGACATCCAGAAGCAGCAAATAACCAGACAGAGAAGAACATTACAGCATGTAAAGCTTTTTACTTCATCTAAAACCATAAGACCAGAGGAAGCAGTCAAGCTGGTGCAGGATGCTGTGGGGCAGATGTGGCTCCATTTGTCAGCCACCGATGCCCCAATTTGGGGACGACCATTTGGGACACTGACCCACAGAAATGCTCAACCCTTTGGCATCACTGAGGATGGAAAGAGAGGCCAGAAAGGCCAGCTAGGACTTCAGTAGACAGAAAGCCTCCAAAGTGCTGGAAATAGGGATGTTGGGGGTGTAAAACTTGTGTTTGGGTAAGAAGGGAGAGCTTCAGGGACACAATGTGATCTGGGAGCCCTCACTCCACACCAGAAACCAGGGATGAATACTATCCCCTTTAAAGGAAGCTGCTGGGAAAGTGAATATCAGGGCCCTCTGATCGGCATCAAAAAATGCCACCTGACCCTTTTCATAGTCCAGGGAGACCCGGACCCTTTTGGGGACCTGGATCTGGTATAGCGGGATACGCTCAAGGGAGGTGAGAGCCCAAAACTGACCCTCACAGAGACCCATAGACCAGAGCTCCATCTCGGGGCTCCCAGCGGTCTCTTCCCTCATCCTCAGGGACTCCCTGGCCACCCCCACGGCCCAGGAGCCTTTGGGTGTCACCTCCACCTCCCAGCAGCATCTCCCCGAGGTGATGCCCTCACAGCCCAGCACGCAGGGATCGGGGCCAAACCCCGCAGCAGATGGGTCCCGCTGGGCATCTTCCCACCTCACGCTCCTCCCGTCTGCCGACACGACAAGCTGGGGGTGAGCCGTGGATGGATCCAGGGTCACCTTCACTGCAAAGGGAAGAGAGCAGAGCATCAAAGGACACCAAACCATTTCCCATGGCCTCGGGTTCCGCCTCACTGCAGGGGCTGAGCGGGGAGGTCCTGCAGCACCACCCATCCCCTTGCTTGGGATGCTCTGCCCTCGCTGCAGGGGCAGACATTGGTTGCTTTCCCCATCCCACAGGACCCAGACAAGCATCAGCAGATGATTCCCAAGGGAGCAAGTGAACAAGCCCCAAGGCAGATAGGTAGGAGACCCCTACCCTTTTTTTTGTGTGTGTGTGTGTGTGTGTGCCAAAAATGCCAAACTAAGCATTTGTTCCCTGAACACACTGACCTGAGGGGCAAACTCAGTCTTCATGCAACTCAGCAGCTCCGTTGAAAGAAATGAATCCATCAACACATCATGGTGAGGATTCCCTGACTCCTGATGGTGGTTTTGCCCCCGCCTTCCCACTCCCCCCACCCCCTTCATTGCTTTGTTCAGACACGGCAGCATCTTCCCCAGATGACCCTCCAACTCATGGCCCATCCCATGTGGGGCTCAACCTTCCCTTGGTCCTTCCCCACTCCCTCACCTCCAGGAGATGTGGACTTACTCTTTTCAGGCAGCTCAAACATCAGGATGTCTAAAGAGGGGGAGAAGAGACATTGTCTGATATAACACGCAGGTATCAGCATGAACATGAAAACAGAGAGGTTGTTCTGCCATGCTGCAATCACATATATAATTGCAATAAAATATGACTTATACTCTAAGGAAATAAATAGAATTTATGCTCACAGAGGTATTTCTCCATCTCCCCGCCCCAGCCCACGCTCAATACCTTGGAAGCTCCTCAGAGTCTCCTCTAGAGCAATATTTTTCTCCCTGAAGTGGCTGATTTTCTTTTCCAGCTCTGGAAGAAGCAACAGGGGTTGCTGGAAATTTTCCTTTTCAAACCTAGAAGAGGAGGACAGAACAAAGTGTAGAGGATGCATCTTCTCAGAGAGAGACTGAGAAATCTTATGTGCGCACCCATAGCTCAGAGGAGCTGGTGCAGGCTTTACTAAACCTGCTGCACATTCAACGATGGGTAAAGACACCTTTGCTTGGAGCCTCTGTCCAGAAATCCAAGTATTTGACTTCTGGGTGAGGTTTTGTAAAGGCTTTCCTGTACCTGTCCTGCCAAACACAAGGTCCAACCTCCCTCCCCAGCCTGGGATGGAAGAAGCTCAGGAATCCCCATACCTGCTCAAGGTGCCTCTGATGTCCTGGAAGGGAGAGAGGGAAGAGGAAACTCAGCAAATGGGTCTTGACAGCAAAACATCTGCTGAAACCTCAACAGCATGAACGCGGCTTTGGAGCCGAGCACAGCCTGGGGTCAGCAGCATCATGGGGCAATACCCAGAGTCAGAAGAGAGCCAGGCGGTGATAACCTGGCTCCCTTCCCTTCTCCCCTCACCTGCAGAAATTTGCTTGCTGGTTGCTGGCACTTCTCCTCCATCTCCTGGATCAAGGTATCCAGATGAGAGATCTCCTTTGTCAGGCTAGTGATGTTTTCTTCCTGCATTTTCTCAATGTCCTTCTCCAGGTCCCCCAGCTGAGCCAGCAGGTGATGGGCATGGTCCTCCAGGAAGAGACGCAACCCTTCGAACATGGAGAAAACCCTCTGCCGCTCAGCTTTGGTCTTCTCCTGCAAGGAGGGGACGCAAGAAGGGAAGAGTAGGGTGGAGAAGGATGCAGCAAAGTTGCACGCTCGCCAGTGACTGCACACCTAGAAAGAGTCACTGTCTTGAGTATCCCATATCCCTTTTATATATATATCTATATCTTCGCATTCAGCAATTGAGTGCCTAGCAGGGCTCAGGCTCTGCCTGTTATTTTTTTCCTACAATGCAGAGAAGAGTCAGGCAGTGTTTGGTTTAGTACCTGGGGAGGGACCTCAGCCCCAAGGCAGTGCAGGATGATCACCCACATGGCATCGCATCTAAAGCCAAAGGCAGACATCCAGACCCCCATCCCTCCTCGTAAAAACATTTACCAGGTACTCCCAGCTTCTCCTCATTTCAGCCTCTCGAAACCCCAGGAGTTTGTCTCTGTCTTCCTTCAGGGCTTGCAGATGAGCCTGGATTTGCCCCTGAGGGAAGGAAAAATAAAGACCCCGTGTCTCTGGAGAGTGAAACAGCCTGAAAAAAAAAGTACTCCGGGGAAGAGACTGCACTGTGGTCAGCTCCAGAGCTTATCCTTGTGCCCCTCTTGGTCCAGAAGATCCTGAGCTTAAGACCTGGGAATGCTTTAAACAGAAATAAATGCCACATAGCAGAAAAAGCTTTCTGCACCAGCTCTTGACTGCATCGGATCCTTTCTCTGAGCTGATTTAACTCACTGACACAGCAGGAAAATGTCCTTATTTTTGTTGGACCATGTTCCTGCTGGCTTAGACAGCATCTTGGGATCAGCAGATGTCCAGTAAGTACCAGAGCCAGACAAAGGCTTGAATTTTGCAGCGGGGAAGAGGGGATTAAGACCTCACCTCTTCAGCCACAGAGCATCAGGTTCTCAGATGAGAACTGAGACAGCAGAAGCACTGGTGCATGGTACATGCTGTCATTTTGAAACGGGCCAGTTTGCTCTGGGGGAAGAGCAGAGGCAAACACCCAGAGGGGGGTAAAATTTCTGCCCCCCAGTCTACTGCCCTGTGTGGGGGTGAGATTTTTCACAGCCTGATGGTAATGTGTTGCAAGGGGAACATCAAGCCCTGACGGTGCTGGTCTGGCCCCTAATGCACGTCTAGACGGAGAAAAATCCCTTTTACCTTGTATTCCTGGACAGCATCCTGCACAGGAAGCATCATGTGAGAGCGGTGTGCTCGGGACTCCCGGCAGATCATGCAGATGAAGGCTTCATCATCTTTGCAGAAGACCTTCAGAGGCTCCCGGTGCCTCTCGCATCCTTCCTCCTCCACTGTCTCCCCTCTGGCTGCCTGCAAACTCAACCGCTTGGCTATTTCAAGCACCCGCGCCAGCTCTCGGCTGGGCCGAAAGTTTCTCTCTGGTGCCGTCTCCCGGCACTGCGGGCAGGAGAAATCTGTTGTGGACCACTCCCAGCAGCGGGTGATGCATGCCCGGCAAAAGTTGTGACCGCAGTGGATGGAGACGGGATCTCGGAAATACTCGAGGCAGATAGGGCAGGAGGCTTCGCTGGGGAGCCCTGCGGTGGGGCTCGGTGCAGCCATGGGGCCCCTGACGTGAGCTACAAGACGTCGGCCGCTTTCATTTTCTTCCGAGCAAGGGAAAGGCGTTTCCCTTCCTACCGCCCCCAGGGTGGGCAGAGCCAGAGCTGAGCCTGGGTGGGAAGGCAGAGAGAGGGTGATGGCCAAAGTCCTCCTGGTTCCATCCCCCAGGGTGGTCCCCATACCCAAAGCGGTTGATACTTGCAGTCTGGACCAGTTCCCGGTACCCACAGACTGGCAGGGAGGAAGGAAGGGGAAAGGGAGCCCTGCCAACTCTGAAGGTGAGACCCACATCCTGGAATGGGGCTGGGCATGGGGGCAAAGAGGATTTGGGGAGGGGGCTTGGCGTGGAAAAGATGGGGAAGAGCATCCATGGAAAGGGTGAGGCTGAAGGTGGCTTGGGAAGGAGGTTGCATATTGCAGGAAGGGTGAAGGAGAAGGAATGAAACCAGAAGTGGGGGCTGAGGGGCCCCCACAGGGAGT